TTTAATGAGCTGGCGTTTAAGAGGTTTATTCCAGCTTTGAAAAAAAGCTCCCTAGGAAAGCGCTCGCTCCTGGGGGAAGTACGGCAGTCGTCTCCATCAGATGGGGAAATCGAAACCGTGTGCTTATCTTTACAGGCAGTCCTTTATTCTAGCAGTCTGCTCGTAATGAAAGGAGAGAATGATTAATGTCCCTAACACAGAAAAGTTGCTTTTCATTGCAGTGGATTTAACAGAAGTGACAGGCAGAGAAGAACCTTTCAGAATTCGCTGTAAAAATTCACACTAGTGCTGTACCACAGAATATGTTACTTTGGCTAGGTACAATTAATTCATCTCACAGGGCTGTTTCAATTTTTAAAAAAACCTTACTCTGTTTCTAGGCTGTAAGGAAGATGTAATGCTCGCTTAAAACACAGGGAATTTAAAAAATCCTTTTCCATGTCACTTAGTTTGTCAGTAGCAAAGTGACAGTCACCTTGATTTGGGCTCTTTATACCAGGCAAATTACATTTAGAAATCCATTATACCAGTGTTTTGGTCTCAGCACTCCTGGAGAGGCTGGACCAACAATGTGTATGTAAGGTCCTTCTAATTTGTCTTTATGAAAAAGTAGGTAAAAGTTTATTCAGTGGAGCTAAGAACTGAGCTACGCTAGTTGTTCTTAGTTGGAGTTCAGTTTTTGGGTTTGGAATGAAATTGGATGACTCCTGCCACCAAAACTACAGCTGCTTCCACCTATGCAAATAGTTTTTCTCAAAATAGACTCCTCAGCAGAGGCAGTTGTGGGGAATCCTGCCTGCCTGGCGAGCATGCGGAGTGCTGGGGTGCTGAAATGCATGGGCTCAAACAAGAGCATTGGGCCAGCACAATGTGGTGTGCTTAGAGGAACAGTGATCCTGTTCAGCAGTATCGCTATACTCTGTTCTGGGACTGGTTTACTGTAGCTATTGTGTTATTTCAGTATAACAGATGGGAGGGTCAGTGCATCCTTTAATGTGAAGAAGTGAGACTGTTTGGTGTGTGTGAATCAGAGCTATGAACTGGCACCAGTATTGTTTGTGGATGGCTAAATCACACCCTCATTTACATGAATTGCATACTCACTCTAGGACTGTGCAATGAAAAGGTGGAAGCTAAATACATCCTGGTTTGGCTCTTGTCTTAAAGAACAGCCTCGCGCTGGCGTAAAGGTTCTCTGAACGTTAACTTCTTTCTGTCCTAATATTTTCTTTTTCAATTTTGTACTTAACAGGATTAAACTGAGTGTGTGACACTGCCCTTGTATAGGTAAATTTCACCTACATAGGCTAACCCTGACCTTTTTTCTTGCGCATGATACTAGCTGTTGTAAATAGCAAAGCTTAGCTAGGCCCCACGTCTAGACCTGTCTTCTGCTGAATTTCAAGATCTGAGTGCCTTCCCCTTCAGAAGCAGATGCTGTTGTGGATTTTTGTGATTGGCTGACTCATTCATTTACAGGAAGTTGCTGCTGTTAGTATTTCTAAGTACAAGTTCTTGCGTTTAATGTTCTACACTCGATATTCCTTTTGAGGCGAAGAAACAGACGCTGGCATAAGTGGGATACCTTTGCACTGGAGTTCTGTGAGGTTCTCAGTCCCATGATTTACTGGGTCCCATCTCAGTTAATGTGTATTTGGTTTATTTCTTTTGCTTATTTGGTAGTAATTTTGCTTTGCCCTCTGCAACAAGACCGTCCAACTAGTTGGATATTAAAAGCTAGGCACAGATGGAATCTTTAAAAGGTGGCAGTGTTAAGTGAAACACATTGATGCTACTTCTAAGTGGAGAACTCCTGAGATAGTAAAGCCACTATAACTGTAGGTAGTGTACTATGTATGCTGAAATACAGAGAAGGTTGCCATTATATTGACATTATAATTCTATTTAGCAGACCTGAGTCCTCCCTGGTACCTCTCTGTTCCGGGCTGTGTAAGGCAAGACTGCTCCTGGTAGATAAGACAGAGGGGAAGAGGAAGGCTGGCTATCTGTTTCAGAGATAGACCTGGAGCGTAAGGAAATGGTGACTTGTCCAGATTATCTGTGACTTCTGGGAGTGCAATTGGTAGGCCTTCCTCCTTAGCTGGAAGACCAGCACCTCATGCTCCTGTTATCTTCCTTGTGCTGCACCAGAGGAACAACTCTACTAGAGATGTTGCATAAGTCAAATTCCAGTGCCTGAAGTCAAATGTCACTGTAAAAAAACAGTGTGCTCAGCTGTCTCATGAGTGAATGTTTCCCTAATTCAAAAATGATTTCATTACATTGCTGCATGTTGCTTGGAACATGACCATTGGATTTTGCTGAGGCCTTTTTTTTTCCAGAGTCTAGTGAGGAACTATACTAAAAGTTAAGCACTTGCTTGGGTAGATAATGAAACTGAATCTGTATGTTCTCCATTGAACAAGGGTAGTTCTTCCTGACTTCTTTCTAGCTCCTTCTGAAAGTGTAGAAGGCTGCAGAAATGAGTTTTCAGTGAGTGGTAACATGGGTACTGCTCTTGACTCTTTCTGCAGAAGAAAGGTGTTTTGCTGAAAGGGCTGTTCTAGCCAGCGAAGGAGTATCCAGGAGAGCAGTCAATTACTTGGAGATTTGAATTCCCAGAGGAGTTAACATAGGTTCTAATACCTTTTGCTAGAAGTAAAAAATGGAGATCTGTAAACTTCTAATGCAGTAAAAGTGAACACACTTGGGATCCTTGAGATTTTTTTGGTAGACCATTCATGCTGATATGGAATACTTCCTCCTTGAAGAGAGCATGTTTCTTCAGTCTCTTGCAGCAGTAATATTTCTCATTAGCTAAGGAAGACTGCATTGTCCTTTTTTTTTTTTTTTTGGCCAGGTATGCATCTCTGTGGAAAGGATGCCTGACGCTTTACACAGGACGAGGAGGCGAGCTGCATAAAATTGGAGAGTAAGTATTGCATGCTTGTACTTGTGGTAAGTATAAGATATGAAGGCTCTTACTAAATAGAAGTTAGGTCAGCAAAAATATGTTGATTGGTCATGGATAGGTACGGTATAGGCAACTGCGGTGTACATGCTCTGCTCTGGTAACGAGCTCAAGCCCTCTTGGGAGGGACCTTTCTAAGTGTATATATGAATAAATTGGCCTCAATCATGACCCACCTGGGTTTTTCCTGGGGTGAGGGGGGAACGTATAGAATGACAAGGGCCTTAATCTGCATTGCTTTCTCAGTTTGAACTCCTTTATTATGGTGGAAGCCCTATGCGTATTATGCTCGAGAGGAACAGTGCAGAGAAGGAAGACAAAGGCACATTGGATGAATGTTATCTAAACAGGAGCAAGCCTCTTGAAACCTTCTTTAAATTCTCCACAAAGTGAGGAGATGACCCTTAGTAAGGAAGGGTCAGAACAAACCTTCAGTAATGTACTTGACAAGCAATAGGAAAAATAGCAACCTTTCTCTAACCAGAAGAGAGCTTCCACTGTGATTAAAATGTGGCAAAAACCATTGTAGTCATTGGGGAAGTAGGTCTGTGCGGTGGCCGTCTCTTCTTGAATGGTTCAAAAATGCTTCATGCTCAGCTGGATGTGGAGAGGGATGCCTTGCAGATTTTCCTTGATGCTGAGTCATTGCCCCAGAAGTGGCATACGGTGGGTTTACTCTCCAACAGGTTGGACTGAGGTGAGTCCTCATCTAGATCCTGCCTTACAGCAGGGGGTTGGAGCTGCATTTCTGCTTAACAAGTCCAGGCTGTTTCATGATCCAGATCTTTCTTCCTCTCTGCCTTAATTTCAATGTGGTTAGTCAGTGGGCCTGTTCTTTAACAGAGTCTCCTTAAGTGGAAAAGGAGGCTTTGAGTTTCATTCCCTGTTTTAGACTCCTCTGTGCTATTATGTTAATGAGGCACTCTAGCATGGGAATGTATTTCAGTTTCCCCTAGGGATCTAATGCAGCCCCAGTCTGGGAGCAGGCTGGGTGACTCTGGGCCTCAGGTGATCTTGTGAGTGGGTGCTGGATAAGATTGTGCAGCTGGAAGAGGGGAAGGAGGGCCCTGAATTTTTCTATTCTTTCAGCTATTTCCCTCCTAGGGTAAATGCCTGCTTGTCTCTGCTTGGCTGAACCCTCGCCAGGAAGAAGCGTCAGCTTCACCCCAAGTCTGTGACAGGATTTAGAAGCTAGCAGCTTTTTAAAAACTCTAGATACTCTCAGAACTGGGATCTGGATTAGTGGCTTCTTGGTGGTGGCTTATTCAAGAACATGTGCTCTTGAGCTGTGGAGTTAAGAACTCTTCTGTTACGAATGACTGTAAAGCTGCGTCATAACCTTAATTTCTCCTCAGGTTCTGCATGGTATACTCAGAAGTGCCAAACTTCAGTGAGCCCAACTCAGAACACCTTGGGCAGAACAAGCTGGTATGTTAAACTTGCCTGAGGCATCTGGCATAGTGTTCTTTTGTCTGAATACTTCACACTAGGCTGTGATAACACATGTGACTCTTTTGGAAAAATGGGCTTCAAGAGATATATAGATAAAAATGACAGTAATTATAGTAGATAAATTTCATGTCTAGTTACTATAAGAACATAGGAAAAATTCAGTCCCTTTCTGTAAAACTGCAAAGTTTCTCTCTGATCCATGTTTTTGTCTTTCTTTTTTTACATTTCCTCTGAAGGCACAGGGTGAACAGAATAATAGTTCTGCATCGAGTAATATGGGTTCTTGTACTTTCGGGCCACTGGGTAAGTTTTTTTCTTTTGTGGAAGTGAAAGGATGAGAAACACTTTAATCCTTAATGGGAATAAAAAAAATCTGATCTTAAGGGCTTCTCCACTCTAGGGCAAAACTCTGCTATGCTCTAAAAGATTAACTGGGACCTGAAACTGCAAGCATATAAGCATGAACATTTCATGGATAATGGTAATGGTTTCACGATTCCTCTCCAAGAAGAAGAAGAGGTCAGACTATCCAAGGTGCCTGCATCATATAAAGGGACTTTGCTAATCCTAAATTGTTTTGGTTCTTGCAGCACTTGAAATTCTGCTTATTGAGTGAAGTATCAGGCTCCACTATTTATTTATTTTTTTTTTAACCACCAGAAACCATCACTTCAAAAATGACTTCCCTTTTGTCTTGCCTTATCATGGCTTTCTTCCCAGGCTAACTGTCAAACAGAAGCAGTGGTAACTTAAATTCTAAAGTCTGGCCTGACCGCATGGTTTTGTGACATCCTCTGTTTAAGCAATGAGACTTAAATAAGGAAATGGTTCAAAGACTTGAGTGGGTATAAGATGAGAGGGAGCCTGAGTTATGGCCTGGCTACATGATGCCCAGACTCAAAGCCTGCTGTTACGTAGCTAAGCTCTGCTGGTGGATGACAGCAAGCTGATGTCTAACTTACAGCTAAAAAGGTCCATGTCACTTTAATTCAATGACTCTGCTTCCTCTTTAGCAACGTGATTATCGTTTCTCTTATTTTACTTCTCTTATGAGCCCTTTCTGTTCCTTTGAAAATAAATGCTTCTGAGCAAAGAAGGGCAGTGCTCTGAGGCCAGTCTTTCCTCAGCGCCAGGGTGAGGCGAGTAGTCTTTCAGCCCAGCTGGAGTGTAGCCACCTGCTCAATGTCCTTGCTTTGGGTGGTTGACAGCCTTTTCCCTGAGCTTGTGCATGCCTTCTGAAACTTGCTTTTCTCTTCCTGCTTTTTGTGCTGTCTTTAAACGCAGTAATTTTTCTCTCTCCCTTCCCTCCCCCTGCTTCCTGTCATTGTTTTCCTTTTTTGGCTACCAGCATGACATCAGCAATGACACTTACAAGGCTCAAGCTCATGAGAGCCTGGTGCTAGCTGAGTCACTTCTGTGGCTGAACCTCACAAAAGAGCGCTTTCTTTCTCTGCCTGTGTGTCTGGTAGTGAGGAAGGGCACAATGGGCAGCCTGCTTTCCTTGTGCTCCTTCCCTTTTGATTGCCACTGCCCTGCTGTGTCTCTGGAACATCTTGGTGTGCAAACCTACAAGCCAGTGCATGTGTCTGAAAGCACCAATCTGCTTTCAGTAGACTGTCTCTCTCCTGCTCAGAGGATCAGCGTGCAACTCCCTGTGGCCCTTTTTGCTTTGGTTGACAGTGGGGGAGAATTACTTTTGGAGGGGGAAAAAGGTAAGCTGTGATTTGGAGTCTTGCAAAGCCAGAGGGCTTTTTCCTCCTTGCTCTAATGAGCAGGGTTTGCTAGTTGCTGCTTAGTCCATGTGTCCACCGTTGCCAGACTTGTGTGGGGGAGCAGTGATTTCAGTCATGGAACTTGTGATGACCTTTCTCCTGTCTTTTTAGGAAATGGTTTGCAAACTGGACCCGAATCAAGTGGATTCCCATTTGCGTATAATCATGGCCACTCTTATGCAGGTAGTGGGAGAGGCAATGGACGAGGACCTGTAAATTCATCAACAGCTAATAGCGTTCAGCCTCCTCTCCCTGCTGTCAGTAATGGGAGGGACCCACGCAGAGCCTTTAAAAGATGACTATGCCAAACGTTCTACAGCTTGCTTAACTTTACACTCTACTTGAACACTTATTGCACTTTTATTTATGGTGAACTGTGAACCGGTTTGTCCTTTATTATTGTTTTTTTACCTTTTGGTCTATGGAGCAAACTTGATGTGATCTCTTGTTTTGTTTAGGGAAGCACAGTGATCCCTCCCCATAAGTTAAGGGGGCAGAGGGAGAAAGTGGATAATGTCAAGAAAGGGTAACAGCTTGAAGAGTCTCAATTAAAACTCAATACCCTTTGGTGAAGGGAAGAAAACTTTGATTACATGTATCTTTTTTTCCCCCCCTCTTTCTGTTGGTCAGCCATGTAGCCTTAAAAGGTCTAAATGTCCTTTGTGCACATGACTTCCATTAGAGTTAATGGGAGTTGATTGTGTTAGAAGAGAAATGAGAGAGAGGGCAAAGGTGTCTTTATGAACTAGGTGTCCTTGAAATGAAAATAACTTGTAAAAGCAATAAGCATGAGGAAAGGACCAATGCCAGCACCTAGTGGTGTCTCCTATATCAGTGAATGGGCAACTCAGATGAAAGCTGAAGTTATGGTGAGTGTCTTGTAGCTTGAATTTTGATTCCAAAATGGTGTATGCTATTTCTTAGACTAGAACACTTAAAGAAATATTCTCCATAATACACCATCTCATCGTCAAGGAAAGCCACATTGATTTCTTTTTTTTGCTTTGGGTAGAGGCTTGGATATTCATTCTTGCTTTGCACGAAGTAATAGAAGAGGATTTAAATTGAAAAGGACACTGGACAATAAGCCGTTAGTTGCTAGTTCGGGTGTAAAAGTCCAAAGTTACTTTACAGGACTTTGAATCTCCAGGAAAGAATGAGTTTCAAGAACTGTTTTGGAACACTATGTTTTGCATCTTGTTGAGGTTGCCTACTTCTTCCTTTATTCACTTTTCCAAATCAGTTATGTGTTGGATCAAGCTGTATGTATTGATTGCAAAGGCACTGGCTGAGCACATGGCTGCACTTTTGATGCTGTTAAGCTGCTAAGCTTTCCTTCCTCTCTTTTATGAAGTATGAATTATCCCCTAAAGAACTTATAAAACACCATCTCCCCTGAGCGGAATAGCTGCAGTTTTATTTTTGAGATCACAAATGCCTTGATTCTCATTAAGACTGCAGTGTCACGCTTCAGATCGGGCTCAAGAACAGTTTAGGAGCTTTGAGGAGATGTACTGGATTCATCTGTTTAACTCTTCTTAAAGCTGACCTCTCCAATAAAAGTTGCACTAAATCCATCTTGGAAACAAATCTAACTTTCTTTCTGTCAAGCCATAAAGATTTCATGGCAAAAGGCTGCTTCTGAAATGCAAGTTGTCTCTGTAGTCAGTCATGTTAATTGGATCTACTCCTAAGTTACTGATGTTTGCAAGTTATTTTACATTTGGTATTTCTGCTTTTGGTACTCTGGTATCATGATGTTTTGTTGGAAGTTGCCTTTAATTGGTGAAGATTCCTTGCTCAGTCTGAAGTAGTGAGCTTTCTTTTAAAAGCAAGCAGCAGCAACAAGAATGTTCTGAAGGGAGATGTAGAGACACCTTTGTGCCAAGACACCTAAGGACTGTTTTTTCTCTGATCTGGTAAAGTGCTACCATGATACCTACTTCCAGGAGAAACTGGCAAAGTTTGTCTAGGCCACAAAATAGCGTGATGTGGAACACCTCACAAGGTCACCTGCTGGCAGTGTTATAAAGAACAGTGCTAATTGCTAAACCATAAAACATCCAATAAATTTTGGAGAAGGTATAAAGTGATGTGCTACTCAGGGACTTTAAATTGCCTACTTTTTTTTTAAATGTCATGTACAGACTCTAGATGCAGGGAACAACCTTTTTGTAGTATATACTAAGACTTTTGATGTGCTTGTGAGAAGAAAGCCAAGAGGACTTCTAAACCCTGTGAAGTATAAATGATATGTTCTGAAGGTAAATGAGATATGGTATGAAAGCCCTACTTCCTAATAGTAACTGTAAAGGTATTAAAAGAAAGGTGCAAGTGATAGACAGTAGGGATTTGGGTTCATCAGGATTTCTCAGCCATGGGTCTCTGAAATTCTGGTGGCGTCAACCTCTCTACAGCCTAAAGAGGGTTGAAGTGATGGGGAATTCTGCTTTAGTGTGTACTGAGGTACCTGATGTTTGCAGCTCTATGCATCTGAGCTTTATTAAACTTTAATAAACAGAAAGATTGTTGACAAATACAAAATAAAGTAAAATGATTACTGCTGATGAACAGCATAAGATTAAATGTTTGCTGTCAAGTGGATTGGATGCTCGGGATGCTGTCTGCATTTGGGAGGAAAAAAAGCAAGAAGGCTGGTCTTCATGTTTTCAAGGTTAGTAGCATTCCTGAAAAAAATTCCTGCCTTCCTATTTCTTATGTGAAAGTGTTTCAGTTTATTAATAAATTTCTACTTCTTTGCAGGGGAAATCTGTGCCCTGAAAAGTCACATGGACTTAAAGTAAATATAATCACTGTAGCTTCTGAAGGTCTTCTGATCTTCCAATGAACCTAAGGCAAGAGATTTGTTTACCTCAGAGGTATCAGTGTCATGATAGTGAGGTCGCATCTTGCAAAGGCATCTGGGAGCCTGCCTTCCATCTCTTTGGAGCATATCACCTTGGTGACCGGAGTCTTGTACAAAAGTTTCTTGGTCATTATGTAAACAAGCAGTTGCCATACATTACTGTGACACTACAATACAGTTCATGGGGGGCCCAGTGCTTAAGTTGGTAGGGGATCTCTTTACAAGTGTCTTCTGAGGATATGTTGTAAAGGTAAGACTGTTAGTGTAGTCGTCTTCTAGATAACACAAGTTGCTAAGCGAAGAATTGTGGGAGGGATTTGCTTGTCCAAATAGAAACTGCACAGCTTTGAAATGCAAGTGAGCAGTCATAATACACTTGAGTCAGCAGACCCAGCTCTTGTCACATTTTGGTTCTCCTTTTACCCACCTGAAAGGACTAATATTGTAGACTTCAGCAATATGGCAGTGGAGTGAGTTTTGCTGTATGTCTACTGCTGTCCTTCATATTTCAGTATTTCACTTCTACTCTTTCTCAGCATGAATCTTTCCCTGTGATTCCAAAAGTAGATCTCTTTCAAGTCTTGCTTTAAAATAGCAATCCTGTAGTTAAATACTGTCTTAACCTTGAATGTGTGCCTGGGCCATGCAGTGTACACCCACGGTAAAAGTGAGAAGGTGCTGTACATACTGAACAAATGGTGGACCGAGGCTTGTGATTTATAATCACTGCTTTCACAACTCCTCTGAAGAACTCTGGCCTTAACCTAAAAACGTGGCTGTTGGTAGCCATATGTACTCAAAAGGTGTTATTTGGCATCACAAATTCCAGTAGGAGCATATGCAGCTAGTAGGTTTTGTGGAAAGCTAAAGGCTGTATGAAGCATCTTTTCTACCTCAATGCAGTGTCTGCGTAGATGATACCCTTAAAAGCATGTTACAAAGATGTCAGATAGTCACATGCTATTACAACATGCATTGCTCGCAGCCCAGAGTAATGTTCGTTAGAAAAAATACTGTTCCATGTAGCTTGTCAGTGTCCTTAAATTTTTGCATAGGGCCTCACTAGCTGTATTTAGCTAGTGACCTGGCCACGTTACGTAGCTCGCTGCAACTAATGCCCAAAAACAAAGGGTGGTTATCCATTTTATAAGGCAGGTTTCATCAGCTTCTAAAGTGCCTTTTTAGACCTAAGAATTAGTAAAGCAAAGGATTTCTGATTGTTTCTGGAAACGTTACCCTGGGCAGCTTAGTAGTCCATGTATTCTGAGTTGCCTGGTTCTTTCTGTGCCTCTCAGATATCTGTAGGCTTGCCATTTCAAACATACTGCTTTTTTTCCTGACCCTTGAGCCAGGCACGTAGCAATGCTGCATGGAGTGTTTTAGAGGGGGATCCAGCGTGGTGCAATGCTTTTTCACTGCAGGTCTTCCAGTGCCTAGCTTCTGAAGTTAATTGACTTCTTCAGGAGTTGATTCCCGTAGTATAGCTCCACCATAGATTTCCTAGGTGACTAAAGGGCTTGGACTCTGTCCCTGGTATGACGAAGCTCTGTTAATGATTACACTGGTGCTGATTGTTTTGATGTTGTGCGTAATCCAGACTTCCCCCCCCCCCCCCACCACCACCACCGCTGTGCTGTTTTGCAGGGTGAGCCTGGCCCTCTTTGCTGGGAATGCAAGGATACAATGGGACCAGGCCAGACTGGAGCCCTCCTGTCCTGGGACAGGCTGCATTGCAGCCCCCAGCCCCGAGGCTGCCCACACTCGTGACACAAGTCAGCTGGGCAGGTGACAGGAGACATTCAACAAGCCCAGACAGGCTCTCCTGTCCCCAGGGAAGAGCCAGCACTTTCACCAAACAAAGCCAGGCCTAGGGTGGATGGGGAATGATTTCAAGGCAGAGCTTGGGAAGACTTTGGCCATCCTTGCTCTTCCTCCACGGCCCAGCTCAGTGGTTACGTTCAGAAGAAGGCACCAGCAACACCAGGCAGCTACATAGGTCCCCTTAAGTGGCAAGGATGCAGCAACTGGGCTGTGAGAAGGTAGCTATGGCCAGGGACATGCCCCTGTTGTGCAGGGAAGGGGAGAGGAGTGGCTGGGGCTGAGCAGGCAGCACTTCTCCAGTAATCCCCCCCCAATCCTTCAGCATCTAACGGGGAACCATGGAAAGCACCTCCAAAAGGGGTCTGGATGTGATTATAGTATAGAGTGCTTGCAGGCCCAAGTGCTGCTGGAGCTACTGCAGGCCTTGAGATAAGCAAGGGATTTTCAGCATGGTTTGAAGCTAATCTGAAGTTGTGCCAGGATGGTCGTCCCTGCATGGCCTCTGCTGCTCAGAGCTGCTGCATTAGTTTGGCAGCTAGCAGAGGTGCATGTCCCCTACCAGAATAGCCGCCTCGGGCCCTGGGGAGGCAGGCCCCGTGTTTGCGTACTGTGACGTACCCTGGGGTGGGGGAGTTCAGCTGGTACTGATGATTCTGAATGTTTGTAGTGTTTGCTCCGTTTCGTGTGAGGTGAAGACGGCTGTTATTTGGGAGTACAGAACAGACAGTGTGCCCAGTCCTTCCAGGAGGAGCGTGCCTGGCTGATGTAGCAGTCTCTTTTCTGGTGTGCTTTTGTTTACTTCAGAATAACTAGGGTGATTAGAGCTAGTTGTAAGGAGGGAATTGTTCATGGAAACTTTGCCTCATTTTAAAAAAAAAAAAAAAGTCCCTCCAGAACACACGTGCCAAACTAAGTTGGGGCAATTGCCTGAAAACCGAGATTGACATTCACAGCAAACCTCCTCAAGAGCTCATTCAGAGGTGCACTTTCTGACCTGAGTCTTAATCTTATACTAGTTCCTTTATTCTCAGTCCCAGAGAATTTTAAATTGTTATGGCCCTTTGTGAAGATTATACTTTTTAATCTAGTCTGTGGTAGACATTTGTGTGTGTATGTGTATATGAAAATGCGCAGTGTCTTGTAATTGGGATGAAAAAAATTAATCCCAAACAAGCTGCTTACTGAATTACTGAGAATGGAGTTCAAAGGGATTAGAAACTAGGTTTGGAAGTGACTAAGGGGACTAAAGACTTCATTTAGCTATTTATTTTCTTTAAGTTGCTTATGCTTTTTTCTTTTTTTCCAAGGAGAAATTAACACAGTAATAAGGGCTTCAGGTAAAACGGGGCTGCCATCTGCCTGCTGATAAACACTGTC